CTTAGTTAAGAGTGCTTGTTAATAAAAGAAAATCTAAAAATTTGTTTTAGCTGTTTTCTTCCATTTTTATTTTTATAGAAAGTTGGCCTGTGAGATAACCTCACCTATGTACCTAAAGACTCTAAATATTCCATTAAGTTTTAAGTTATTTGTTAGCAATATAGTTTCTTCATTCATCTAGTTATTAATTATACTAATTTTCTGAGCATTCCCTGTATGTTGGGCATTAGTTTTGGGTGTCACAACCATGACAGGGAGCAAAACAAAGTCCTTGTCATCATGGAACTTAGCCTCTTGGGGAAAGAGGGACAAAAGGTAGTTCAACACAGCATGTGTGACGTAATGTCAAGTGAAGACAAGTGTTGTGAAGAAAAGTTAGCAACATTAGAAGACAGAGAGCAAAGGGTATTGAGATGAGCCCCAGAGAGAAGGCTTACGAAAGAGGAGCAGTTGGAGCCATGACCTGAAAGTGAGGAGTGAACCTTGCAGAAATTTGGAAGAAGAGCATTTGCCTGAGATGACACAACTAAATAACATTAGGTGCCTGTTGCTTTAAAGTGCCGTGGACTCATAGCTCCCAGTAACTTTAGTGTCTTGGGTTCAAGAGATCCTCTTGCCTCAGCCTCCTGTGTGGCTGGGATTACAGACACTTGCCATGACACCAGCTAATTTTTCTATTTTTAGGAGAGATGGGGTCTTGCTCTTCCTCAGGCTGGTCTTGAATTCATGAGTTCAAGGATCCACCACCTCAGCCTCCCAGTGTGCTAGGATTACAGGCCTGAGCTACTGTACCTGGCAAGGAAGTCATTTTTTCTCTTGCCAGCTTTTTGCCATCTTATTCATTAACATTCCAAGATAGTTTTATCGTAGACTTACACACAAAGTCTTAGAAAAATATTTGTTGTGGTAGAGAAGGACAGAGAGAAAGAGAGAGATCTATTTGGAATGGATAGTGAAAACCCAGGAAAATAGGAACATAGGAACACTGCCCTGAGGGCACGGGCGCCCTGAGAGCACAGGGCACTTTTGCAGGCTTGCCTTCTGAATGCACAGTGAAAACACTGATTTCCAAACTTTTGAGTATGCACTTCATTAGTCAAATATCCTTGAGCATATTCATACCTAATACCTACCTATTTGTTTGCAAATTAGATGCAAGGAGTACGGTACCAACGTAGTATATGTATTTTATTTATATACATATATGTATATAAAATAATGCAGATATCAAACTAGAATTTTTTTAAAAGATGATGTACAATGAAAGTTTCAGTATTTTCTTTGCATGGCTAAATTTGTTTTGCCTCCTTGCTAGGATATGGATGCCTCATCCAGGAGCACAGTATAATATATTTTCTTACTAAAAGAAAATATATATATTTTATTAAAATTTAATTTTTATTTTAATTATCTTGACATTTTTCTCTAAAAATTCTATTCTTTTCTGAAATGTTAAAATCCTGTATCCTGAGTCTCACAGCACCACTATGTGCATAAGCTCTGGGTCTGACATAGGGATGTTCTTAAGGGTTGATTAGCTGTGTGGAAACACTTGTCACTAGCACAAATGACCCCACACTACTATTCTTCGGTATCCAGGATTGTTTTTTCCTTCATAAGTCTCCTACTTGTCATTTCCAGTTAATATTCGTATCGATGGACGGCGCCTATGGCTCAGTGTGTAAGGCGCTGGCCCCATATACTGAGGGTGGTGGGATCAAACCCGGCTCTGGCCAACTTTGTGGCAAGTGCCTATAGTCCCAGCTACTTGGGAGGCTGAGGCAAGAGTCGCCTAAGTCCAGGAGTTGGAGGTTGCTGTGAGCTGTGTGATGCCACAGCACTCTACCTAGGGTGATAAAGTGAGACTCTGTCTCTAAAAAAAAAA